TAACATGGTGTTTTTCCTCAGGACAGGCCTCGGTGTGAAGCTCTGCCTACACTGAGGGCAGCTGTAGATTCTCTTCTCATCCTCTCCATCCCAGAAGCTTTGAATACAGTTGATGCAGTAGCTGTGTCCACAGGGAAGAGTCCCCGGATCCTTCAGTAGATCCAGACAGATGGAACAAGAGAACTTTAGGGGGTCCAGCTGAGCTCCTTGCTGCGCCATTTCACCTCGTGGCAGTGACTGTGTGAGTCTCACTTCCTGAGAAGTGAAACTAGTCTGAGCTCTGATCTCAGCATCATGTGATCAGGCAGTGAATGCAGCCTGTCAGCTCTGTCACGTCACCACCATGTTGGTTCCACCCATTTATAAAGTGCAGATGTGAAGGGGAGGAACAGAGTGGAGCTGGCTGTGTGTGAGAGCAGGAAGAGGAGGGAGGGCTGATTCCAGGCAGACCAGCAGCACTTTGGACTCTGTTTCCTGCTTTCAAATGAAGCCTCAGTTCAAACCTGCTCCCCGTCTGAAAACACTCCAGTGTTCAGTTGTTAAATACTTGTTAGCTCCTCAGGTTTTGGTGATGGCTCCATATTTCTGACTCTTCCTCAAAGTCTGTTAAAATAACTGGAACAGAGCACAAGAGGAAGTGGTGAAACTTATTTGTCATCTAACACTTCAGTTCCGGTTGAGTCATTTTCTGCAGAGTGCAGACGCTTGGCTGCTTCCTCTCGCCTTGCTTGCATTTTTCTGCTGATATTCATATGAGAAAACTGTGAGCACTATGATCCGCTCATTTTGAGAGCTCTTTTAGACTCAGTTTTAGTCTTGAGACAAAAATATGTATTTAGTCACAGGAGGTTATGAGCAGATAGTAAGAAGGAGAAGGAGGAGGCTGAGCTGGTGTCGGACAAGTATTAAAAATATTAAAATACAGCAAAAATATCTGAGTCCAAATCAAAGTTTTAAAATCTTTAAAACAAATGAAGAAAAATCTGCTGATGCAGAGAGAAGATTTCAACCAGTTTTCACTCAAAAGAAACTTTGTCTCTTTTTAAATATTTGTATAAAAAACGACTCGGGCTATGTTACCTGTTGATCCTCAGGTGAGTCTGTCTGATTGTTTGAACAGTGTGAATCTGAGTTATTTTATTCTGCTAAAATGCAGTCAGACTGACAGTAGGCGCCTCGCCTGCCTGGAGAGTAGACGAGAGCAGGCGGCTGCAGCAGGAGGCGGAGACAACAAGCTGCGGTCAGGTCAGACAGTTTCCTGACAGTTCCCAGCAGCCTTCAGTCCGTACAGGAAGTCACAGACACACTCACATCCTGTCTGATATGATGTCGATTGATTCAAATATTTGTTGTTTAAATAATGACAGATTAATTTATTAAATACTTTACAGGTGATCTGTAGTTTATGTTGATGGTTCATGAACTCTCCTGTAAATCAGATCCGATCAGTGTGACCTGTCCCCTCAGCTACACAGGCTGAACACAGTGTCTGACTGTAAGCTTCATATTTCATACAAGTCAACAGCTTTCATTAAACATCAGTCAGATACAGTCAGAGCGTCACACCTGGACACGTTATTGTAAGAGTCCTCACACCTCACTGACCGCAGTGATGTTTAATACTTCAATAATTAAATCAGTCCATGTTGACATACAGCAGACTACATGTAGTTTGTGATGAATGTGTTCAGTCTCTCAGCAGTCACACGTTTCCTGTTCACAGAATAAACCTTCAAATCAGACAAATCAAATCTAAATCTCTGAAATTAAACAAAAATGAAAAGTTTATATAAAACGTCATCTTGTTGAGTCGACATCTGAACCAATCAGCTGTTACATCAGGTGAGACCCGAGCGTTTCCCATCATGCTGTGGGTCTTGCAGTCGGTGGAGAGCAGCTGCAGCGCCTCGCTCTCACGATTTCATCGCCGTCCACTTTTGTAGGACCTCAGAGGAAGTCGGGATGAAGTCGGACACAAAACTAACCAGCATGCATTGTGCTGCGACTGTGGATCATCTCCAACGAGCCTACTCTGAATCGTTCAGCCGTTCATACATATTTTTAATTAAATATTTCACAAACATGCTATGCAGTCTACATGGCAGGCCCTGTTTTCGTCCCGGCAATGTTTCAAGCACATCTTCCAAACCACTGGATAGTAAAATGAGCCCCTCCCCCACAGCTACAGGTAGCTTCTATCAGGTTTCTATCCATCCGTAAAGAAATACGCCTCCTAGTGTCGGACACTGGCTACTGGATATTTACGGATCTGCGATGACGACGTGAGAGCCAAAGAAAGCACCATGGTTTGAACTTAACGGACTCAGACACCATTTAATCAGCTGAACAAACAAACAAACAAACAAACAAACAAACAAACAATCAGACCTAAAGCCCAGAAGAAGAAGAACACTGCAGCACTTCCTGTTTTCTTGTTAAGTTTTTATTATGCTTAAAAAAGAAAATTAAAAGACAGAGGAGGTGGTGATCAAAGAAAAAGAAAAAATATATATTCAAATATCTTTATACTTTTCTATTCATATATGATTAACAATGCAAAGAAAATAATTCCCGTAGTAGTAGTGCTTAAGTAAAGTTCAATATAGACTTTTATTATAACAAAATAGGCAGTTTACCGAGGGTTAAATATCTGTCAAAATCTCATTGTACAATAATAACCTGCATGTTCGGGACACACCTGCCGACACCTGGAGGTGGCAGCTCGTCTCCAGGCGCACAAATCACCACGTGATCACATGATCGACATCGTTTCCATGGTAAGACACTGATGACGCTGACAGACGTCTGACGGGGTTCGAGCTTGTGCCACAAGAGGGCGCCGCTCCGAACAACACCACCCCAAACACACCGATAATAATCATAATCATCATAATAATAAAAAATCAGTTCAGTAAAATCAAGTTTATTCAAAGTTTAAAATCAGCGTCACATCGTAAAAAACATCTCGTCAAGTCGTTGTGTCTTTAAACGCTCGTTTAATTTCAGATCTGACCGTGAAAATATTTCAAGCTGCTTTCGAAGAAGTTCATTAATTTCACAAAATAAATATACAAAAACTGGAAACAATATTCCAAAATAACACGATAAAGATTTCTTAATTATATGCAAGAAAACTGCAAGTTTTTCATGTAATTCTGCATTTTTTCAGTTTAACTGAGTAAATAACTCAAAATGAACAGATTCTAATTTCCCCCCAAAAATCCCAAAGATGGTCTTCTTGACATTATAACAGAATTTTACTGTAACAAGTTTCTCTTGGTCATAAGGTAGTTTTGCTAACATGATGTCATTAGTTAGTTCTGTTGAGATTTTGCATCATAAGTTATTTTTTTAAACGTCAAACAAAAGATCTTACCTCTGATTTTTTTTTTTATTATAATTGGGAGATCTTTAAAAAAAAGTGTTCTTGTCATTATAATAAATACATTTCCTGTGTTGAGCTTCTTTTATCTATATTATTGTATATATTTTATGACATAAAGAACTCTGTGACAATATTTTTCTAGTAATTATATATTTATATAAATTGAATCAAGATTATTAATTTAAATAATTACAAGAATATTTTCTATTAAAACAAGAAAATTCAGAGACAATTTTCTTGTAATTTTCAGTTTTACTGAGACAGTTTTTCTGTAGTCATGAACTTTCACATACGGCATTATCGCTCTTTAATAATGGATTGAATAATTTGATAATTATTATTTTATTTTTTCTTGAAATTATGAGAAGTTTCTTGGAGTAAAGATTTCCTGATTATGAGACAGTTTTCTCTGGAGTATAAAATTATTATCCTGTGTTGAGTTTACTTGTAATTCTGTTCATCTACATATTCGTATTGATTACTTTTACTCATTATGACTGTTTCATTGTGATTCATAATTAAAAGAATGTTTTCTCTCATTACAACAAAATTATGAGACTAATTTCTTGTAATTCTGTATTTTTGCATATTAAGTGACATTTTTTGTGACAAATTATTTTTTAGATTTTTTTTGTCATGACAAACATTCTTGTGGAATTAAAAACTCTAAATTAGTTTTTCCATAATAATGTTGATTTTTAAAACATGTTGCTTTATTCATGTATTTATATGAATTGCTTTGAAGTTTTGCTCATAATTATGACATCATTACAGGAACTAAACGAAAGGCCTTTTGTTGTTTATTATTACAAGTAAATCATGAGATAGTTTCTGGAGAACATTCCTTTGATAGTTTTCCTGTAATTCTGAGTTTCTTATAATTTATACATTTTTTTAACATTATCATAACTTCCTGTGATAATGTCGAATAATGTTGATGAATTTAATGACCTGAAAAATTTTGTTTTAAGTGAAAACAGGTTGAAATATTTTTGATTTAATCACTTGTTTTAAAGAAAACGAGGCTTTGGACTTTTGAACAGACAGAAGTGACTCGAGTCGAGATGTTTTTACGGTGCAGGCAGAATAATGAACGCTGTGACCTCTGACCTCATCAAACGGAGGTCAAAGTAAATGTCTGAAATGCAAAAATGTTCAGCAATAAAATCAGAATCCATGAAGTGAAAAGAGTCGATTTCTCCTCGCCTGGATGAATTTAAGTGAATGAATTTAAGTGAATGAATCCGACTCCACAGCGCCCCCCAGCAGCAGAGCAGGAACCCTGCAGAGCGTCCTGACAAACATCCTGCAGCAGCGAGGAGCAAAAATAAAATATAAAACTAAAAGCAAGTCGACTCAAGTGTAAAAAACAAAACAAAACAAAAACAAAACAAAAAACGTTGAAATGCAGAACAGAAGAAGCTGTGATGTCAGACGCTGAAGGGGCTGATGGGAAATAAATGGGGTTATTAACTGACATGCTGTTAAAGCTCAAACGTGCAAAGTTTTGCTTTTTGTGTCTCCGCCGGACGCTGCCTGAGACTGACTCCGTCCGCTTACCTTACAAGACAAAAAAAAAAAAAAAGGTTGGGTGGGGGGACCCACAGAAAAAAAAAAAAAAAGATAAAATCATCTTCGTACGTTTCTTCTCGCCACTTTCATGGACACGTCTTCTTCTTCTCCTCCCTTAAACATTAAGGAGCTGTACCGTGTTGAGTGATGTCATCAAACTTCCTGTGTGCTTTACTCTGCTGGTCAGGAAACCCAACAATGGAGTCTTATTCAGGCAAAACAAATACAAAATGAAACAACGCTCTGGTCAGCCGGTGTGTCGTATCGTTGATCCGGAGGCAGGAGGGAGGAGGGAGGAGGGAGGAGGGAGGAGGCAGGAGGGAGGAGGGAGGAGGCAGGAGGGAGGAGGCAGGAGGGAGGAGGGAGGAGGCTGCTGTCTGCAGGTCGACTTTTCTTTTCAAAGTAAAACAAAGTGAATCTAAAGAGAGGAGGAGCGATGGCGCAGACAGAGTTTTGAACCTCATAACTTCTCCTTGGACTGAACCCAGATGAACGGACCCGACTGCTCCTCGATGATCTGCTTCACCTGATCGTAGATCTCCTCCAGAGTGTCACCCTGAACGATGGCTGAAACATAATAAGCACAACTCAAAGTTAAAGAGGAATACACGTTTCTACTGGAACATGTTCACACGCTTTGATGGTCAAACTGGAATCACTGCCTCGCGGTCGTACGCCTCCGGGAACCAGTCAAGTTACAGTTTATGTCCGTGTCTGTCCAGACTCACGTGGAACCGTGACGGCAGACGATGCTTCAAATGTTGCCGCAAATTCTAAAACACGGACGACGCGTCACACACAGCAGATCTATACAATCAGCACAGTTTCAAGATTAGAGTCACCAATTCAGTATCTGACCAAATGTCTCCCCTTCTGTTCCTGAGATACGACGTTAAAACATGATGATGTCACAGTCAATCTGACCTTTGACCTTTAGACCTTCATTATTTTATCCTGTCAGACATTTGTGTCAGAATATGTATGAATTCTTGAGTTATGGACAAAATCATGTTTTGTGAGGTCACACTGACCTTTGACCCCCAGACTCTGATCAGTTCATTTTTGAGTCAAAGCGGACATTTGTGACAAATTTGGAGAAATTCCCTCCAGGTGTTCTGGAGAAACAGCATTCATGAGAATGAGATGGATGCAAAGTCACAGTGACTTTGACTTATGAACCCCAAATTCTTATCAGTTCATTGTTGAGTCCAAGTGGATGTTTGTGCCACATATCAAGAAATATCCTGAGGCTGTGTGAGGCACAGACGAAAACCCTTTATTTTGCACTTCCTGTCTTCACCGGAACGCCTGTATTCACCTCCTGTCAGACGCTCTGTTTTAGTGCCCGTCTCTTTAAGCTCGCCCCCCAACAGCCCCATCTGCTCTGACTGGTCAGAGTTTCCAGTTCTTCCACACGCCAGTGTCTCTCCGGCGTCACTGCAGCCGGGGAGTTCAGTTTAATCTATTTAACAGGGGCCACACACAGAGTTAGCTGTGTAGCTCATTAGCATCTGTGGTCCCTGAGCAGGTTTATAGCAGCTTAGCTCCAATCAAAACAGAGAAACCTTCCTCGTCTCATTTACAGGTTTAAAGATGTTCAGTGAGCAAGTGCAGCAACAGAGACATAAAAAGGAGAGGCTGTGGCTTTGATGTAGAGATGCTGAACCTGGACCTGGACCTGAACCTCAGACACAGTGACTAAAGGGAACACGGTGTTCTGTCAGGATCTTGTTTGGTGTGCTGGCCTGCAGGTGGCGCTGTCTCACCTGTGAAATGCTCGGTGAACTCCTGCTCCAGCTTGGTGGCTCTGTCGAAGGTTTTCCTGCCCTGCTCCTCTGTCAGACGCTTGTTCATCTCCCTGCGACACAAACGTCACACAGAGGGAAACCACGTCACCGTCAGCACGCTACAACGTTCTGGGTATGCTGGTATTCAAAATATGAATAATTATTGAACATTTTAGTACATATATGTGTGTGTGTGTGTATATATATACATATATACATATAGTTATAAAAAAACATTTATTCATAGTAAAAATGATAGCTTATTAAGTATTCTTGAATTGTTATTTATAATGTATTCATAATATATATTTCTAAATATTATATATTTAAAAATATATGTCAGAATTATTATAATTTTTAAGCTTTCTTGTTTGTTTTTTTATTTTTTTTGTTTAAACCCGTGTCCATTCAGACCTGACTGGACGTGATAAACTCACAGTGATCAGTGTTCAACTGAGATTTAAGCATCTNTATTTAATTATGTTTTGAAAATATATAAAAAGTTAATAAAATGTATAAATAAATGCATACATATGAATTTCTTATATACATATATACATTTTTATATATATATAATTCCATGTGGTTTTAATATGATGATAATTATATGTATTATTTTTCACAGTTGGCAGTTTTTATAATAATTTCATGATAACAAGAAGTGTTTCTCTCATGACAGGATAGATAAAAGGATCTGAGCCAAAATGATGAGGTCATGTTTACAGTCTTTTTTTCCTCCTTTGATGAGTTAAATGTCCTGAATTATGTGATGTTATGAAATGAAACATGACATGGTTCATGTTTCAGATAGAAGCAGTGAAAAGAAAAACTGGGAGCTGAAGAAGAAACCACTGAAGCTCCAGGTTCTTACAGTTTGGTGTTTGTGAGAAGGAGACGGTTTGACTCACATGATGTTCTCCACAGATTTGGGTTTGATGAAGATGGCGATGGGATGAAGCTGCGCCAGCTGGAGTCTCTTGATGGCGTTCCCCGACACGTCCAGGATACAGTGTTTACCCTGAGAGCAACAGAAGAACAAGTCCAGCACCATCAACCCTCTCTGTGTTTGATTACACAAAACTGACATTTCACACAGTAAATGTGATCACGATAAATGAAATGAAATAATGTTTTAAAGTTCCCCCGCGCCCTCGTTCCCTACGGCAGTGAGATGTATTAATATTTATAAATATTCTAAATATGTAATATATCATGTTGTATGTATATATGCATGTATGTATATAAAAAATACATAATACATGT